GCTTCCTGTAAAAACCTGCAAATCGTGAAGCATCTGGAACGCAACTAGTTTAAGAAATTCGGTACGGTTTAGTTATTTGTACAATTATTTTGGGTTGTTGTGTCGAAAGCGTTCATTCCAAAAACTTTATACATACACGTGTAGTGAAAGGATTTGACATTAGTTTAAAATAAAGATTTCAAATTTGGGAGCACATTAATAATTTACGCAGTTTTACGGTACGAAGCTGTTTTCAATAGCGGATATTTTAAATCTGGTACTTATCGCCGGAATTCATGCAACGACAAAGCTTTTTTTTTTTAAGCTGCATTCCCAGTGCGTTATCTTCTTTTAATTTCAAAAACTTCAACTCTTCTTCGTTTTTCTTAAAAAGGAGTATTTCGAAAATTGTAAATCCATCAATTATATTACATAAAAAAGGGTTTATGAAGTATGCAAACGTACATTTAAATAATTTCAAATCGGCAAATCTTTCAAAATCTGCTTTTAAATTATGTGCAATATTTTTTTCTTGTCATGGAAAATGATGAAATATTCTTTTTTTGAGATCATGAATAAAAAGACGTAGTTTAGTTTCAAAACTTAAAATAATTTGCGACAAATCAAAACCATTTTTATTCTCTCCTTGTAGAGATAAATTCAAGCTTTGCAAATGTTCCATCATATCGGCAAAGAACATTAAGTCAGAAAACAAATTTTCACTCTCCAATTGCGGGTAATGTTCCGATCTCAATTTGCGCATGTGTATATAAAAAGAATAAAATAAAAAAAAACAACACAATGGAAAAGAATGTCCAGCAATGAAAAGTGTATTTTGTGCCAAAATGTTCTAAGCAAAGATAAAGTAAAAAGCGCCGCACTTTGCTAAAGGTACTGGCCCAATGTAGGCTTGCTTTGCTTGCTTCGCTGCGAGAAGTGTCTAAAATTATTTGGAATATACTAAAACGTGTAAAGGCTAGCCAAATGGCAGCTTTTCTTCACTTACTTTAAGCGCCTCAATTTTTCAAATAGGCAAACGTTTTATTTGAAAGCGTTTTGTAGGCTTTTGACAAAAAGGTATGTTTCCGTTCAAAAAACCTAAATTCAAACAAAAATTTGCTTACTTAATTTAAAAAAGTCATGAAAGTAATTCGAAACGAAATAAAAATTGTTCGTTGGTTCCATATTTATATTTAACATAAATATCGTTATCTTATAGTAAAAAGTGGCAAAGCGCACTTTTACAAATTTTACACGAGAGGAAAACACTTCTTATAGCTTTTTTCTTCAAGTAAATCGCTCTTTTACGTTATAGTTTTTTTAGTAAATGTAGATATACATATATATGAGTAGTCCACTTGCAAAGTGCGCTATGTAAATTGTTTCGATTTTTAGTTTTTGGTGGACTACGTACCAGTATTTAAAGTAGTATCATGTCCACTAACAACACAGTGCAAAATCTTTTTATATTCTGAAAAAATAGCATCAAATGTTAACTCTTCATCCAAAAGTCGCTATCATACTTATTTAAAAACTTTCAAAAGTATCCATCTTCTGATGAACTTAGAAAACTGATTTAGGTCGTATAGACTGTTAATGTTATCTTATGACATGTTATGTTTTGTTATAATTTTATAAGGCTCTTATTTATCAGGTAATAATAAAAAAGATTCAATTTAAATGTTACTTGTTGTCGTAGTCGTTTTTTTCAAATTTATGGCTTTCGATTATAAAATCGCAGAACGCTGTATGCAAGTGGACTACTCATATGTATCGTTAATACCATTTCTTTTAAATGCAAACATCATTTCGCATTAATTTAAAAATAAATCGGCCCTATGCGGATATCGTCATCGTCGACGATCGGCAGCGCATCAGTAACATGGCTGGCGATGGCCGTATCGTCACTTTTACTGACGATGACGATATTCAACATAGGGCGGAATATGAAAGTTTTTTACACATTTTCTACAGTTTTCTAAGGAAATATTTATTTGTGTTAAGGGAACAGACATTGACTTTTCAACCAAACATCTGGTTACTTTGACAGCGTTACAAGCCGCCATTCGGGCAAACAAGTTTTCGAAGTAAATCAAAGTGAATTAAAGTCAGCAAGGCGTGCAAAGCAGGCCTGCATTGGTCCAGCGCCTTAAGCAAAGAGCCGCGTTTGCCCACCGTTATTATAGTCGGTGTTCAAAAGAGAGAAATGTCAAAAACACTTCTACCTTATTTAATATGCCTTGGTTTTACCTTTAAATATTTTTATCATGCAATATAGTAATTTAACGTCATTTACCTAAAATTCAATTAACGCACGTCAACACAAAATGACGTTGTTGTTTTGTTTCCAATGCAATGTTCGCAAACCAGGCCACAAACGACGAGCATGCTCACTGAAAATCAAGCCGAGCACACTCGCGCACATGTACGTCGTTTGTGGCCACTGTTACGCTAGGCTGAAAGAAGTACCTTTTAAATTTCGAACTAGGTCGTTCATTCTATTTAATGAACTAGTTCTATGAAACTTCTACTCCTGAAAGATCTCTGAGGCTTTCAGTATATTCGTTGGGAAATGTTTAGCTATTGGTACAACGATTTAGGGGTGGGGGCGGAGGGGGAAGTGGTGTGGGCCCCACAAATCCCCCCTAAACGAAAGAGGATTGACGCCGCTTTATGAAAAGTCACCCCTCCCCCCCAACCCCTCCCACAGACCTCTGGGGAACTGTTTGAAAATAGGGGAATTTTAGCGTTTTTGCAAGGAAAAAACAAAGTTAAACTTGCGTCCGAAGAAGGGGGGCTGAACACCTTTTGCAGAGAACACCTTTCTGCGTAGGCGGCCTTCGGCCGCGCTTAGGGATTATAACCCTTACTACGTAGAATTCTCCTTTCTGTGTGACATAACTGGGGCTACCGCCCCAGTGATGTAACCTTGGGAAAGGAGGAGGTAACTAGAATTCCCTTTCTGTGTGGTAAACCTGGGGCTGCCGCCCCAGTGATGTCTATTTTGGTGTTTTATAAAAATATCTTGTATATAAAAATTTATATACAAATTTGTAACAAAAATTTGCAACAAATACCATATTTCCAACCGACATTATTGTTAAATTAGTGCACAGATTTAGTAAATTAAATTTTTGTAATAAAGTGTGAACTGTTGTCTACAAGTGTGTGTAAAAGTTTTTTCCCACTAGAACTTGAAGGGAGATCTCCCTATGTGAGGAATAAAAGAGTACTCCCCTTAACCTGATTTCTGAGCAATAAGAGAGATTTGTCGGTTTTGTACTCCTTTATTACTCGTTTAGGAGTCAAATAAGAGATCTCCTAAGCGAGCGACGAAATAATGCTAATTGTACTCCTGTATTGCTCGCTTAGGAGCTTAATGAGAGATCTCCTAAGCGAGCAATTAAAGAATGCTCCCTGAGGCATGATTTGGGAGCAATAAGCGAGATTTGTCGGTTATGTACTCCGTTATTACTCGTTTAGGAGCAAAATGTGATGTCTCCTAAGCGAGAAATCAAAGAGTATTCTTTTTGATTGATAGGAGAGCAATACGCACCTCGCTCAAAAGAAATTTGTTTTCGAAAAAATTTATCATACAAGAAAAACAACAGAAAATATTTCTTATAGAAGCATAAGGAGGACACAATAATTTAATTTGGATAGCACACAGATTTTAATAAGAGTCCGTTGGTATGTACTTCAAATTTTGTTTAAATATATTAAGTATGTATTGTCTTACTTATAAATGCACCGTTAAATACTTTTCAGATTGCGCAAATTAGTGTCAGCATTTAAGTGTGACCCCCGGGTTTAAACATCGCATGGGTGACAAAGATTTCAGATAAGCAAAGTCACCTTCACAATTTCCCCGCTTGGTGGATTCCTGAACTGGAAGGCATCCTTGACACCCAGGAAATCAAATAGGAGTACATACTTATACGTGCATATAGGTGAATATAATTCAAATCTTATCTTACCGTTTTGTTATTATTATGTTTTAATTTCATATGATTTCTCTGCAATATAATTCTAAAATTAAGCAATCATGTAAGACGTATCATTTATGTTTTATTTTTAAGATCTTGTAATATTGCACAAATGCACGTGATTAAAAAGTTAAATAAAAAAATTTAATAAATAGCAAAATCTATTCTGCTAATGTAAAATGTTCGTTATCATTGCTCCCTTATTACTCCTACAGGAGGTTTTCGGGATGTCTCTAATGGGAGCACTCCTTTATTGCTCGTTCGGGAGGAATATGTGATGTTTTCTATGTGCACTCCCTTGTTGTCTTTTTGGGAGGTAGCTATGGGAGTACTCCCGTATTGCTCTATTAGGAGGTTTGTGGGATGATAATTCTGTGTGTGCTCCCCGATTGCTCGTTTAGGAGGTAAAAGGGATTACTCCCCCTCCTAGGACATCCAATGTTAAAGGGAGTATACAAAATTACATGCTTATACACAGAAGCATAGGGAGCAATGGGGAGTATTCGTATACTCCCAAGGGAGAACTCACCGAGCAATCGTACGATGCTCCCAAGTTCTACTGGGTTGATTCGATTCACGCGTTTGGGCACAGCAACCCAAAATCGTTGTACAAATTCATAAACAGTACCCTATCCGTTTTCCTTTGTTTTGAGTAGATGAAGGCGCTGAGCTTGATCCTTTAGCAACGTGTACATGTGATAAACATTAATTTCCTTGCACCGATTCCATAGTAATAAGTGGAACAAAATCGGCCGTAAAGGAAAGCCAACTCCACAAATTTTTGTAATTTATTAATAACATTCAAAAACAAAGGCGTATTGGTTATTATGGAGTTATACGAACATTCCCAACCGATCAAACTAGATATACATATTTAGCGCGATCTGGGTACACAAAGTTTATAAAATTTCCTTGAATGTTATTCAAACATCTTAATTTTATTTTCATTAAAGTCTTTCTCTCTTGCACGCAACACATCTGATATTGGATAATCGGAAACTGGCCATTGCAAAATGCGTCCTTATTTGCACTCACCACGTCTCCAAATTACTGAACTTCTTGGTCACTACCTTCCCCAAATCTATGCCCAAACGATCAACTATTCTTTGGGCTAAATCTGGATGAGAAGTGCCGGAAAAAACTTTTATATTAGGCATCCTGGAATGCAATGTGTTATTGCTGGAAGGTATCTCCTGTTGATCCAAGCTGCCACTAATAAAACTCAACACGCGCCGAAATAAGAGGTCTAACTAGAAACACACTGCTTTAGCTTAAAAACTTGCCATCCACTTATTTATCACTGCGTTGTTTTGAATGCTGTTTCTAGTCAAAGTAGCCCATAGGGATAATATTTAACCCGTCGGTGTGCCTTACGCTAAGTTTAGACTCGCAAGTCAAAAAGGGCTATTTAAATCTTATTTTATGGGCTGTTTTTGCTTACGCGTAAAAGCACATTTAGCGCATTTAGCTCTAAATGCTACTCTAAATGTACATTTATCCATACAAAATTCGTCACCTAAATGCAACGAAAATGCAACTCCATTTTTGCATTAAGAATCTAAATGCTAAAAGCAACCCTGTGATCTTCCAAAATTTCCACGATTCGAACATGGTTTAAAGATAAAAAGTGCCAACATTGCTTTTTCGAGTATACAGTTGCTAGCTGCGTTTCAGTGATCGCCTATCGAGATTTCTTTTATTTTACATTACATATTTGGATAAAGAAAAGTTAAGCAAATTCAACATCGATGTGATGCTAATAGAAATCTGGATCAATTTGTGATCAACTCTGTTTGTTTTGTTTCCTAATTAAGTGAGGAAATTTTAATTGAGTGCACCAACAAATGAATATATACACAAACAAATGTTCGGTTATGGTTAAAACAATTCAAGTTTTTGTATTGAATTTTTGGTTTAAAATTTATTTTTTCCTTTTCAGTAGGGTTTTTGCACATTATCTTCTGCGTGAGAATTGATCGTAATATATACGGATCTAAATAAGAGACTGGAACACGGCTGTTTGTCAAAAGCACACGATTTCGAACTCGCGTAAACGTACATTTGCTAAATGCGATAGCATGAACGCTCTTCGAAAACATATGTTAGAAAGTGCTAAATGTTGCATTTAAAATGCAGTAAAAACGCTGCATTAGGGCCAATTTCAAATAAATATTTAAACGGCACTTAAGTTTAAGTGTGGATTGTTGTTTAAATGCCATTTAACTTTCGTTGGGTTCAGATCAACTTTATTTAAATATGCCAAACAAGTGGCAACACTGTTGCTTGCTCCTTGAAATTGTTGTTGCATTTGCTTGTTTACATTTTGTACTGACCAGTTGATTGTTCTTTGGAAAGATTGTTAAAACAACCGACCTATCAATCATGGTTGTTTGGTACAAACACAGGGTTGCATATCTCATTTAAATAGCTAGTATTGCCCATTTAATGCAGATTAAATGTATGATCTGAAAATGAATTGCGGAAGTTAATCAACAATCTCTACTTAAGTAGGCCATCTGAAATTGAGCCTTAGTGGATATTTTACACTGAATGAAATAAAAATGTAAGAAGGGTTTATTAATGGTAGTAGTGCACAAATTAAAATATATTTTTTAACAGATCAAGGCCATCTGCAAAACGAATCATTTGCTAGAACTCAAGCAGGAATTTTTGAAGAACTGCGCCTGCATAACAGGGTAGAGTTAAACCGATATGAAATTGATAGAATATTTATGTTGGATCGTCCTGAAGGAGATAAGAGTCTGTGATATTTGTTCATTTATGTATACATGAAAATGAATGACGTTTAAGTTTGTATTTTTCTTTACTAATGTAAAATAGAAATGAACTTAATTAATTGTTTACAAAGCCCTAATGACACTTTGCTTTATTTGCATTGCTTCAATAGATAATTCCAAACTAATTTTGCTCAGTATAACCTACAGCTGTTACGCCTTTTTTATGGCTTAGCCCTAACACGTTTTGTACCAAATCCAGTACCTAGTTTACCGAATTCCTATTTAAACGAGAGTTGTTTATAAAACTACAAAATAAGATTTTAGTCGACATCGTGAGTTTTATTTTCCCCGAAGCGGTTTACTTTTCACTTTTGATTACATTTCGGATGAATTTTTTTCTCATTTTTAAACTTTGTGAAGCAATTTTTAAATGCCGAAAATTAGCAGTAAACCTAAGTCAATACAGGTGGTGGATGAAATTCGTTCATTTTTTTCGCGTATTTTACTATAAAAATTTCGGTCCCGTGGCAACACTGAAGTTTACAAGGTCGTTTGCGCATCAAATGTGTCTCGTAAATTTACGAGGGGCTCGTAAATAGAGCCGCATACACATTTTGACAGTTCTTTTACGAGGCTCGTAAATTTAGGAATTTTACGACACTTGTACGAGTTTAAGGGAAGACGCCTATTAACGTTTTTCGAAATCCAAAATTGCATCTTTAACCCTAGATAACTTCCACAATTTATACTTTCGCAATATAAAATTGGTATACGTGTGCTCAGCATTTACAACTCTATCGAAACGGTGCGTATTCTTTACTTATGCCAAAAGTGCCCTATGGCTGAACCCGGCCAAAAATGACAAAAGAAAATCCAAGAGGGATTTCAATCGACGTATTTTAATGCCAATCTGCCTTAAGGCCCGTTTACATACAACTTTGGAGTTGCGTTGGCGTTGGTGTCGCTTCGACAGCTGACTATGAATACATACATATAACCAAAGTTGGGCAACGCCAACGCCAACACAACGCAGAAAGATGGCCAATTCTCATTTTTTCGCGCGCGTCGTTCGTCAGCTGTTCTAAATAATCAAAATTATGTGATTTAATTTTCATTTTTAATCAATTGCGGGCAAGAAATATAGTTTTTAATGCAATTATTGATGTAAAGTTTTGATTTATCTGACGCTAGTATGTTAATTTAGTGACCAAAGTATTCTCTGCTAAGCGATCATTGTAGCAAGCACGGGCGTTTCTCGTGCTGCTGTCAAAGTGACGCCAGCGCCAACGCAACGCCAAAGTTGTATGTGGACGGGCCTTAACACCATGTTCTGACCGACATCGAAAACATGTTTTCGTTGCTAAAACTGTTTTTCGACCTAAAACTTGTGTTTTCGTCCATGTAAAATCTGTCAAACGAAAACCAGTTTTCGCTGAAAACTACTTGAAAACCCACGTTCCACTCATTCCAATCGGTGTCTTCACTAGTTTTTTTCGATTATTTATCGAAGTGGTAGTCATATATTATCATCTTTAATACGCCATTTCGGATTTATTGGCCCGTAGTCATAGTCAAAATAAAGTCGACTTTAAAGTTAGTTGGAGCTTTTTGACATAATTTTCAATGGGATATCTGTCAAAAAAGCTGCAACTAACTTTAATGTCGACTTTTTTTTGACTATGACTACGGGCCATTGTTAATTGGCTGCCCGAAGTAAAATAAGGATGAAAGTGAGGGGTTGCTAATGAAAAGAAAATGAGGGAAAAGCATTTTGGTTTTGTTTTTTGTAGCAAAACTGTAATCAGAGGATGTAAGAAATGTCAACGAAAACACTAAACGCCGGTGTGAACAGCCTTCAGCCCACAATCCCAAAACTCGATTTCAAAGTGTTTTCGTTGTCGGTCAGAACATGGTATTACGCTGCGTCTACATAACTGCCGTCTCCACATGATAAAGTTTATATCTTGATACATATTAAAGGTCTGCATCGGAATTCAGTTTGCTTCACTGTGAAGTTTTTTTCAAATATGTAAACTACTCATACTTTAACAAAGAGGGCATGGAAGGAAGAGAAGTGAAAATTTTGAGCACTGTATACATGAAAAAAGTACTCAAACAAAATATGTTCCGAAAAAAATAAAAACATAAACAAGCAGTACTATGGTGTTAAACTTCCACAAAAAATATGTTCCTTCACAAGTATTTTTTGAGTATTTTTGGAAGTTTTCGTTTAAAAAATACTACATAATGTTAACAGACATGGAAAAACAATGTAGGGAATTATCAAGGCTAATACCAAGCTAGCCCAATACCGAGCGAGAGACAAAAGGGACTCCCACAGCAACACCTCGAAGGAGCGTTTTAAATTATGGGATGAATAAGCATTCCATATGGGTTATCTGCGGATGACCTGTTAAAGAAGAAACGTTATTTTTTACCAAACTGCTTCACCGATCATAACCAAATTGCGATGTACATATCTACTGGAAACCTTCCAAGGATGGTCATAGACCAATAAAAAATTCGACATATCAAAGGCGCGTGCGTATTTGCGGTAGAGCTTTGGAATTCGGTTGAGTGATATATGAAGACAAACCCAAACTTTTGAAGGGAAAATTACGTTATTGGAAAACCTGACACTATGGAGGTTAACGGACCTCTGAGTTCTAAAACCCCACATATATGAATTTTCAGGTTTATTCAATGCATTTATTTTTATTTATTTATTTATTTATTTATTGACAGTCTTTAAGACCTATAAAAAATCTTGTCAATTACATTATAAACTTATTTAATTTAATTGATTGCTCTTCTACTAATACTATACATTAACATTTTTCTTATTTTCTTTACTAATTTTTACTTATTTTCAAATACATACTTTATAAATTTATACATATTAATTTATTGTACAATTAATTAATTAATTATACGTACATTATAGCCTCGGGTTGGATAGCTGGCGAGGCCTAGTCTCCAGTCTATCTTTATGTTCAGCAGGCGGAAAGGCCTAGTTTCCGCTCTGCGTCACTAAAGGCGTTTACCATGGTCGGAAAGGCCGAGTTTCCGATCCATGTTCTTTTCATAATTATGTTGCTGTGAAACGGGCGGAAAGCTCTAGTTTCCGCTCCGTACTACGAACGAGCTGTTGGACATGGTCGGAAAGGCCGGGTTTCCGATCCATGCTCGTAACTCCTCTCATATGCTAGTATCTTGTTAGAATGGGGAGACCCAATAGCAATCTTATATGTGTTTTTTGCAATGCTCGTATAATAAACTTTTGAATTTTTGTAAGCTATTGCAGCTTCTCATATCTACGGGGAGTTCGTTAAACATTTTTAAACCTTTATAGTACAAATCTCTCTTTTGATTTTCCGTCTGGCAAAATGGTAGTTTAAAGTTATCCCTGACTCTGGTTTCATAGGTGTGAGTGTGACTGCTGTACCTAAAGTTATCACTCAAGTATTTCGGAAGGGTTCCATTCTTTATATTATAAATAAACTTCATTGTATGGAAAAAGATTAGTTGTTTCACATTTAACCAGTTTAAATTGTTCAGCATTGATGAAATGCTGGTATCGTATCGGGCGTTAAGTATGTGCCTCATAGCTCTATTTTGCATTTTTTGTAGTCTCTCTATATACGACTCAGGTGTTATAAACAGGATAGTGGGGCAGTATATAAAATGTGGCTCAATAATTGATCTGTAAACCATAATTTTATATCTTCTACTTAGATGTTTACATGTCCTTTTCATAAATCCAATTTTTTTCGACGCTTTGTTGATGGTATACTCAATGTTATCATGGAATTTTAATTTATTATCAATTAAAACACCAAGATATTAAATTGTAGTAACCTCTGTAATTTTTTCATCCCTAACATGTAAATCGTGTCGCCCTAATCTAGTTTTATTTGCTGAAGAAATTATCATGTAATTAGTCTTTTTTACGTTTAACATTAGCTTATTTTTGCATAACCAGACATATAGTGAGTCTAAGTCATTTTGCATTTTATGAGTTGCTGTGTCCAAATCGTCTTCACTTATAGTCAACAGTGCATCATCAGCAAACAGTCTTATCTTACAATACCTGATTGATGATAAAATATCGTTGATGTAGATATTGAAAAGAATTGGTGCTAGTACTGATCCCTTTATCCCTGCTTGACGTTCAACTGACCACGAACCTCACGTGATAGAGGCTAACGGACCTCGGATTCGCATTTAGCCTGTCGAATAACATAGGGTTTGGTTTAATATGCATACACTTTTTTTGTAAACCTGTGTAATTTTTATCAATATTTGTTTATAATTAAATCATTTTTCTTTTATATTTTACTCACTTCTTTAAGATAAATTTTCTGCGGATCACACGAACGAGAGTTCAAATAATACACAATGCAAAATGTTAGCTAAACCCTAATTGCGCGAAACAATAAAATAAGCCCCCTTTCTTCAACGAATCAAATTCGACAATGAAAATAAAATTTATGAATTTTCTTAACATTATGTTAAATGATAACATTTTGAAAGAAAAATTTTCATAAGTATTCGTATACTTCCTATGAAGTTTTCAAATACTGCTGAATTCAATCAACATACTCAAGTGTTTTGGAAAAGCGAAACAGTGTTTTATGTAGCAGAGCACTGTTGAGTAACATTGCTCAGTTATTCAAATTTATGATGTTCTCTTTTTTTCTTCCCATCTTTTTTACTACTCTAAAATTTATGTTCCATTTACTCATGTACACATGTGAAGAGTATTTCTGCTGGTATATTTGCAGACCTTTAATACATA